TTGAGCTAATATGCATTAGAGGGTGGCTCCTTCTGTTTCTTTTCCCTAAAATGCATGTTAGCCTTTTCTAGGGCTGCCATAATTCTGCTTTTGTTTTTTAAATATATCTTGCTTTTTTGGATTGTCCAAACCAATACTGGATGTTCACATCATTAAATTCGGAAACCAGGAGATGTTTGTGCAGGTGTACTTAGGCCAGAGGGGGCTTGCTCAGCCTCAACAGCCTGCAGGGGCGGCAGTGGGAGCTGGGAGGTGCTGGATTAGGTGCTGGGGGCAATGGACAGATTAGTGAGGATCAAGGTGGGGGAGTTTGTGGTGTATGGCCTGGGTGAGATGGGTTAGGAGTTGTGGGCTGGGAGGCGTTGGAGGTTACCATGGGACCTGTCTCCTACTTGGGCATCTCTGAGCAAGACCCTTGTTTTCAAGCAGGGATGCACACAAGGAGCTGCTCTCTGCTCCCCAATTCCCTCACCCTGTTCTCCTCCCCCCTTTCACCATTAGAAACGTGCATGGATCATTGCACCCTCAACATCAATGAATCTCTGCTCTGGCTCAGAGTTTACTCATGTAGATTCGAATACAAGAGCTGTAGGCTATGGAGAAGTGTTTGGAGAAAACTTGGGATGAAATGCATTATGTTATTGTTAGTAAAGCTACTCACAAAGACGTGCAAACTAACAACGCTTTTTTCTAAGATTTACTAAACTGAGTCTTGCAAAGCTCAGTAGATGCTGAACAAATTAAAAATGGCATTGTAGAACAGATGATCATTTGCTTCTTAAAATAAAGTACGTGGGCTTTATTTCTGTGTGCTTGGGGAAGGTTCTTTGATTGTCCTAAAATAAGCTAAAATTTTGCCTTGATTAAGTTATTTTAAGATTGTTTCACTAATAATTAACCATTTAATTTAGAGGCACTTCAAAAAAACAAGCAAGTTTGTACTTAAGCGTATGTATAAGTTCTTGTCATAGATTGCTGACCTCTGGTTGTAGTCTGCCTCGGTTTTAAAGGAAATTCCACTATAGGACCAGTGTGAATCCATATGCATTAAGAGAGTAGTATTAATGGTTGCAAGTTTTCCCCTCTGATTCCTTTCCCTAATTATAAATCTTTTTTTTTTTTTTTAATGGCAAAAACCACATAATGCATAATATGTCTAGTCTGGAGGGCTTTAGTGTTTGGTAATGTATGGGTTTTGTTGATGTAAAATAACTTGAAGATTATGCATGTTCCAGAACTTAGTTATGCTTTCAGTTGCTGATGCTGTAAATTTCAGTATTTTTCTTCCAGTTCGGTCATTCTAGAAATAACATCTAAAGCTGTTTCCCACATCACAACTGAAGAGTTGTCATGTTTATTTAACCAGCTCCATCTGGCTTCCAGTAAGTCCCAAATTTCAGTTTTTCACAGCCATGCATGGATTCCTGCCATGCCCACAGAACGCAGAGAAAATTTCTGCTAAGCCCGGTTTTGTTTATTGAGAGAAACGTCTTTTTTGGAGCAGAGGATTAAATATTTTTCAGGTCATGCCCTACCTCATAGATTCCTCACTCCTTAGAGAAGAAAATACAGATCTTCTGGCATGGTCCCACTGCTGGCACCACTGCATGTGGAAAAGGTTTTTCGCTGGTGGTTTTTTTGGGCCAGGCTGGAGACGATGAGGTCGATCAGCTCTAGCAGCCAGTGTCAAGCTTTGGTGGGCCATGGGGACCAGGAAGGTGTGGAGCCAGGCCCTGGCACCACCTCGCAGCCCCTGGGGAGAGCCGCTGCCCTTGGCCTCCAGGCAGCTCTGTGGCACACCGGGTTCATAGTGTGGCCTCTGCCACTTGAACACCAGCATCCTCGGCCATGCAGCCTGTGGACTGTGCTTACCTTGTTAATAACCTCCCTGCCACAGTTTAAAAAAGAAAAGGAAAATCTATTGTATGGTCTTTCTGCAAGTACACCATACCAGAGGGGAATTACTTATGCTCAGGACTGAGAGCTCCTGGCAGACAGGAGATGCCACATACAGCACAGCCTAAATGCAAATTAAGCAGAAAAATATGATTTTAAGAGTAGAGAAGTACCGATAACAGAGGAAGCATTTCCTGAGTGTTTGCAATTAAAAACACCCCCTGCAACAGTTATCAAGTTGTTAGAAGTTGAACAGAGAAAAGTCACGCATGCTTCTCTGATTTTAGGAATTCCAGATTTTATTTATAATGCAAGACACAAGCCCCATTTCCTTTCAAAAATGCAACAAACTCTTTTTCCCCCAAGTCTGCCAAATCGTCTGATATTTTAACTTGCTTCTAGTAAGAGCATACCTTGACCCTCCATTCTACCTGACTGCTGGGTGAGGGGCTGGAGATGGGCAGGGGATGAGCCGCAGCAGGCGGGGGAATGTGAGAAGCGCCTGAATGAAATGCAGCGAGCAGTGGCTGTGCTCCCCAGTTGCCTCCCAACCCGCTGTGCATGCAAAGACCCTGACACGTCCGTGCCCAAGGTCACGCTCCAGATCTGAATTGCAGAGATGTGTCAGGGCACTTGGGGGAGGTATATTTGAAATGGCTTATTAAACAGGCGCAGGAAGGAAAGGATGGAAGATAGTATTACTGCTGATGAACTGCATTTTTACTGTTTAATGGTGTTTACTACGTGCATGGATTCAGGCTGAAAAGAAGACAAACCTGCTCTCCTAGCAGATGGAGTGGAGGTTATCCCCCCAGAATATATAGGCAGAGAGGTTTCCCTGTTAGTTTGCTGGCTAGTGTCACTGTAGGGAGTACAGAAGAGCATTTCTTCAAGGCAGTGTAAAGGGAGTCCTGTCACTGAACTGTAGTCACATGTACGGTAAGAAGTGTAATCTGAAAGGAAAGAGAATTAAGACATTACAGATAGTTGAAGGAACAAGTAACCTAAATGTCCTATTGCTAACATCTTGTGAAAAGATAAAAGCTGTATTGGTCTGATTGGTTTTAGTTACATGAATAAAATATCTATGCAATATTTAAGGCAAAGAAGTTGCTCCATGGGAAATTGAGTCCAAGAAAATGAATGTCTTAAGATATATCTTGGTACTCTGTCATTATATGAGTCTGCTTTGGGTAGGTCTGTTTTGGGTGGTACTTCATGTTTGTGGGATATATGTGCTTTAATTAGCTTTTGGAGAAGGAGGACTGTCTTTTGCTCTGTTTTTCTTCTGGCTCTTACAAGACTGTCTTAAGTCTACCTGGATGTCTACAACTTCAAAATAAACTTTTAGATTCTCTAGTACTCAATAATTAGTTTTGGGGCATCCGTACTGTAAATCAGAATGGTGTATTGGCAAGATTTTGTGTATTCAGATGTCCTTTTGATGTTTCACAGAGATTGTGAAAAGTGATGTTTCACAAAGTCCAATTTCTTAATGAGGTTATTTTTCTGGTGTTTATATAGACTTAAATTGATCTGACTAGTCTTCTAGTGCTTTCTTTTTTTCCCACTACTGGTATGTTTATCAGTTATTCTCTGAAGGACACCATCTGATTTTTAAGGTTGTGGAATAGGCATGTTTTATTAACTTTTGCAAGCTAGAGCCTTAAAGTGTGGGTTTTTTTTTTAAACAAGATTCACTATTCTATTATTTTTTATATGAAAAAGCTTTTATTTTATTCCTCTTCATTCATATATGTATATGCACATATATAAATACGTTTAGAATGAGCCTTATACAAATCCTTGTTGTTATTAAATCACTTGCTAAAGTACAGTAGTTGAATCTACATTGTCATCACAGTTCACTTACTTTGTTTTGTTTTTTACACAGGAGCCCTTACCAAAGTAAAGGAGAGTAAGCGACATGTGGAAGAGGGGAAGATGGAGCTCCAAAAAGCTGAGGGCATTCAAGAACGCTGTAACATTATTTCTTTTGCAACCCTAGCAGAAATTAATCATTTCCACAAAATTCGTGTGAGGGACTTTAAATCACAGATGCAGCATTTCTTGCAACAGCAAATACTCTTTTTTCAAAAAGTGACACAAAAGCTAGAAGAAGCTCTTCACAAGTATGACAGTGTTTAATCTCCGAACTTTGATTTGTGGACTTCCCTCAGCATGAACGTGACCCAGGTGGCAGAGCAAATGCTGCTGCTGCTGAAGAACTGTTGCCAGTGGTAGACGGTGGTACAAGGATGGTTTTGTGTTCACCTGGAACCCCGGTTTAATCTCTGATTATGTAGAAAGGAAGCAGTTATAGGGCTATGTAGTAGAAACAGTACCACGCATTGTAACTAAGTTATACTGTGTATGCCTACACTACCATTGTAACTTTTTTGAAATAATGAGTATACTATTTGCCTTATTGCTTTTTGAGATATGGTATTTTAGTGCATACTTTGTAGACCTCAAAACCCTTTGGGTCTTTAAGGAAGTTGGCTAGACAAAAGCCTGCTTCAGATGCCTTTTTACTTTCCTAGATTTGGATTTCCTAAATTCAAACAATCCTCTGTTTACAGACTCCTACTAGAGCAGCTATGTGATTCTGTGCCTTTAGACTCTATTTTTCCTTTTCTAGTAAGTCACATTTTTATGATTGAATGAATGAAGGTTTGATGCCTATGACAGGAATCGATAATGAAACCTCACAGTGACTGGAAAAAAATCAGCTGCCATCCAGTTTGCACAGCAAGTACTGTCTTACAAGAAATGTTGGCTCAAAAAGGAGAACTTATTCGTACTTTCCCTGAAAATGGAGACTATTTGTTGCATGTACTAGGATGTTAAGCACACATAGAAAAATACACCACTGAATTCCCTTTCCAAAATGAGTAACACAGTGAGGGTTTGGGTTTTTGTATTTTAGTTATACAGCATTACTGTGAGTGGAAGTTTGAAGAGCTAGCCTAATAAAAATTATGTATATCAAGGGGATATGAATGCAAGCTATGTAGCTGGAACTTTTTTTTTTAAGTTTGAAATGATCTGCTCGTTGTTCAGTTGCTGATTCAGTTTAACTTCAGACTTGCATCTGCATTGCCAGTTGTCTGAGTTGAAACTCCACTGTGATTCATTAGTTTAGTAAGTTACAAATTTTCAGGGATGTTCAGTAATATAAATTATCTGAAATAAGTCTTTGCTGAACTGACTTGGAAAACAGATGGCATTTTTATGTTTGTAACACTCAAGAATTAACAATTGTCTTAATTTTTGTATAAATATTTTTGACAAGCAGGGTGCATTTATATATACGTAAACACTATCTTTTAAGGAGTTTTCTGGCTTATTTCCCTTGAATTAAGTCTGAAGTCTATGTGTTTCTTACCTGTTGGTTTCCTTCTTATAGGTCAGTATGAAAAAGAGGTTTTATTTATCCTACCTTTTTTTCTCCTAAACAAAAATAACAAAACCTTCGAAGGAAGCGAAATGTTTACTTTTTTGGGTTTAATTAAATTAATCAAGGATAGCTTAAACAAATGAAAGCCTGGAAAAGGAAGTTAAGCAATGGTTACATTTAAGTACAAATCATTCCTCACCTGTGCAGGAGAAATGTGCAGTTCTTTCGCTCAGTCGTGTGAGTTTCTGTAGCTTAACCCCACACCTCTATTTTAGCGGAATAAATGTAAGAATGTAGTTTTGGTTTTAAGATTCATTCCCAAATGCTTGGAGATTGCTTTTTTGCGCAAGCTGTGTTTGGCAGTGCTTCTAGTACCCAAAGAAGTAAAATACAGAATAATGAAGAGGAAAAAAAAATGGTATTTGTAAAAGAAAGGACAATCAGTGAGGAAAGACTCCATTTCCAGGCTATTATAAGAGTGCTGCAGACAAGGTTGACCATAAAATAAGGACCATAGTCATAGGGCTGACTTGCTCTTTATGTTCCTCATGGTGTCTCGTTCTACATTCAAAATTCACCACTTCCTCTAACAGCTCTTCCCAGCAGTGCTCTGGTTTCCCATATGCCATTTCATTAGGTGAGATAGTGATGAGCTAGGTTTGAGCTGAGTTCCATGGCTTATGTTTGCTTAAGCCAGATACTGGTTTATTACATGTCTTTGCAGTAATTAGATCAGACTACAATCAAATTAATTCTATGTGGAGGTATTAAGACCTGTTCAGATATTGACCTTGGTCCAGTTGAAGTCTTCTAGGAGGTTAATGTTAATGATGTGTACATGTCCAGGAGGAAATTAAGCTGTGATATGTATGCATACAACTTTATCAGACAGGTACAGTTTTCCCAAATAAACTGTCATGGCCTTCACCTTACTTTCTGATTTGTGAATTTTTGGGGCGGGGGGAAAGTGGGGGTGCTAATTAGTTAAACTTGATGTACCAAAAAAGCTTGACTGGAATCCTGGATATGAGTTTTTGCAGAGTTTGGAAAGGTTCAAATCTGCATCTATATGAGCATCTTCCTTTTTTCCTCACTCATTATAGAATTGGAGTTAAACTGATGTAGGGAGCCTGGACTCCATTAATCCTTACTGCACTATGCGAGAACTACAGTTTTCATTATATTTGGAACATCATGACTGATGGACTGCTGGATGGTGTGGTCTGAGATCCGAATGTACTCTACAGTAAAGTGAATGTATATTGTATGGGACTTCGGAAGCATCAAAGGAAATCTAACAGAATCCTTTTGAATAAATAAATGTGGAGGAAAGCAAATTAGCTATACAGAATAATGTTAAATGCCTTTGTTTTATTCCAGTCCTGTAATTCGTTTTGGGTGCATCACAATTTTTGCATTGATAAGTAGGAAGTATCTGGTATATTTGGGGGTTAGAGAAGTTGAACTGAAAGCTGCAAGAAGATCCACCGAGGTATTGCTTTCTGCTCAAGTGCCAAATCCAATGAAAACTGTGGAGTCAATCCATCAGGGGAATATATCTACTTAGAATCAGCAGCAAGTGGAGTGTGGATAATATTTCTATTCAAATCATAGGGTTGCAGAGAAGATAGTTGCCTCTGTTTATGACTTGTGCATGTTTTCTAGATTGTCTCTACCAGTTTCAGGGTCCAATGGCATGGTGTGTTTGATTTAGAAGTGGAGTAAGACCCAGCTTAGAGAGATCAGTAGGAAAATTATGTGGTGATGAAATATTCAAGACAAGTGCCAATAAAATCTGAAAAAAAAATTCAAAATGGAAGTATATGTTGCATATAAAATTGATATGTTTTTAGAAAATGTTAATCAACTGCCTACACTGAAAATACCTACGTTATTTGGTGAGGCACAGGTATCTTTCTGGTGAATTACAAGACCCTGTTTCCAGTACCTTATTATTTTGCCAGACCTTCACTGTTCCCAGCTAACATCTTCCAAGCTCGTTGTCTGCTCAAGCCTGAATTCTTCTGGAAAACTTAAATTAAAGTTGTTCAGCTATTTCTCAGAAGGAGATAAAAAAAAAAATACAGAACTTCACAGTTTGGCTGGAAAGCTTTAGTTCTTTCATACTTTGGAACAAGGGCTTGAAATTTGGCAGACTCATTACCTTTTGCATCCTTAGATATGCCTGCTGCGCTGCCTGTGAAAAATTGTCCCAATATTTCCAAGTTAGACTAAGGTTTCTCTGAGCCCTACTGTGCTCAAGTTTGACATAAATTTTTTGTAGCTCCCCTTTGCTCCAGGCAATCTTGGTTCTAACCTTGGTCAGCAGCGGCTAAGTGAGACTTTTCCTGTAATTGTTTTTCCCTTCATTCAGAAGGCACTGAACCTTCCAGACCAGAAGCTGAGTAAAGAAGCTGTTGGTAGATCATGGCGTGGCTGCTCTTTGAGCCTGGCAATGGGAGGAGAGAAGCAGCAGCCTGGAACACAAGTTTGAAATTAGGCCTGGCAGGTACAGCAAGGTGGAGGTTGGAGACGGTCAGGAAGGAACACATGGGGACAAAGATCAGAAAAGGGTGAGGACAGAAAGCCCTGTGGCAACAAAAGCCTGTTCCTCCAGTCCCCGATTATACCTCGGGCTTCCAAAGCCTCCGTGTCCTTTTGCTGTTACTAAACAGCCATGATGAGCAGGGTCAAAATGGGTAACTTAAGTTCTTGTGGTGGTGAGGGCGGCAACATTTTGTTTCTCTCATTAGAAATTACTTTCTTTGCTCAGTGGTCAAAGGTCTGATACGGCAGTTGGAAAGCTGAACTCTGTTGATGAACTGTAGATTTCAGGGCTGAAGGAGATGCTGTAATGCAGGCTCTGTGAGGCAGCACTGTGGGTGTTGGTATGGCTCCATACCTTCTATTATCTGTTTTTTTCTTGGGGAGGGAAGAGGGAATCAATTCAGGAAGTTGCACACAACAAACAAACTATATTAAAAAATGCTAAGATTGATCATCTGGTAAACAAAAAGGAAATTTCAGAATTAAAGTTGCCTGTGTAACTAAATATATCAAGACACGTCATGATACATGGTCACATAACTGGTTTTCCACCACTTCCCTGCCTGATTCAGTGCACAGGATATACAGAGGCCTCCTAGTCAACTAAGGTCTTTCAGGGAGGATGTTGTCTGTGTAATCCTTACTTCTTTTACAACATCAGTTGTACTCTGTACAGTAAGAAAGAAAGGCAGTGTGAAGATCAAGTAAGGGTCTCCCTCAGCCTGCAGAGCCATGCTGTCCCTGCCTGTACCCAAGTTATTCTATGCAATATAAGCCACACAAAATAAATAATTTTTATGAATGGTGTGCTCTGCATTTTGTGTAGGCTTGCATTTAAACCCAGGACTTACTCTGAAAAACGTGCTGGGCATTAACAGATTTCACTGATGGTTATGGACGTTCTGCTTTGAATAGAGAAAATGCTACAAAATGCAAAGTTCTCTGGAAAAAAATAATCAGGAATTAATTTCTCCAAGTAGACGACCACAAATTAGAGGACACTTGTACTCTGTCAGCAGCAAAGGGGGAATAATAAACCCAGCTCATTTTGCTGGAATATTGCAAATATAAACTCCTTGAAATAGAGTTTTCAGATGTTGCTTTATTAGGTTGAAAAAAAACATCAAAGCCTCCTAAGGAAATTAATACTTAGTCTTCAGAATGAGGTGTGAATATCATTTTGGAAATAAGGGATCAGCCTGTGTGTAGAGCAGTGAGGTAAAAGAAGCCTCCAGAGGAATCTCAGTCAGGTACTGTTCATTCAGTGAATGGAAAGAGAAAGGCCTTCCCAGAAAAATCATATGCAATTGTGTCATTGGAGCCCACTTTTGATGCATATTCACAGGAGAGCTGAATTAGTCACATGGGTTACCTTACTTCTAGCATTTCCTAAGTTTTGAGGTGCTGCTTTTGTAATTTCAGTAATTTCTCAATGTAACACAGTGCAGTATAGTATGTGCTATACATAGAAACATAAATTTTGTAATATATACAAGTAATGTAACTTCAGTATACTTCACAATCATGCAGCTAGCAGTAGAGCTCAGGCATGCAGAGTTAACTTCAATACATACAACTTTTACATACAGTAAAACTCAGAATTTTTGAAATTGAAGGGCATCTCCCATACCAGCTATGACTGGCATGCCGCTTGGCAACTCCATTTAAAACTAAGGACTTAATTTGGTTCCACTTTGAAATAAAGGGAAATTTTTTT